ATCCACAGAGCACCGTGGAGCCGCGGCACTACATCGAACCGAGTGACAAGTGCACAGCTCATTTACCAACGTGATACTTGTTCGAGTCACCAGCCACCATCAATCGACCTCCCCGCCTTCCTACGCCAAACAACAGCCCCCTTCTTCGACGCCACTCCGCTTGACAGCCATCTCGTCACCACCCCTCCCACACACAACCCGGTCGTTTTCAAGACCCTCTTCCATCTCAGCAATCGAGCACCCACATCCACAGACGCACAGAGCCCCATCCAGACACCGGTCCAACAACGGCAACAGCAGCAACACACTTTGTTGTCTTGCAGTTCCCTCTTCACAAGCACTCGTATTCACGTGTCACGCATATCCACGCATACCCACGCGTCCACACCCCGCCTCCATCTCTCGCTTTGAACATGGCACGACGGAGACGCTTTGCGGTGGGCGGCCTGGCTACGGTCGCTACATCGATGCTGGTGGTCCTCGTGTTAGCTGGGGCTGGTGCCAAGGGCGCTGACGATGGCCACTGTGCAGAGTACGCGTATGACCTTGAAGGCTGCAAGGCCGACTACGCCTGCCAGGTTGGAGGCACGTGCGTCACGCAGCAATCTGCCTGCGACCAGGTGTACAGGACCGGTTGCGAAAAGGACGCTGGCTGCTACTGGGACTATCGCGGCCTGTGCGTCGTCCTGCCTTACGACTGCTCTCACATCACGGTGCGTTGTTGGCCCTTGATTCGATGTTCTGGTCTGTTCGCAAGTGCAAGGAGGACAAAGGGAGGAAAGCAGACGGGGAGAGGGGAATGGAAGGCGGCGAGAGGGAAGGAGAAGAGGCAAGCGATTGTGGAGTTGTTGTTTGGTGGAACCATTTGTTGTGGATGGCTGTTACGCTGGCAATGTTGTATGAGCTCACTTGCTGCCCCCCCCCCTTTGTGGTTATTTCCTCACGTATTTGTTCGCCCACCTTTGTCTCACCTTAATTTGTTCGTACTTCGTCCTTGACGTCATGATGATGATGATGATGATGATGATGATGATGATGATGATGATGATGATGATGATGATGATGATGATGATGATGATGATGCTTGGGGTTGCTGTTTGCGTTTTGTTAGGACATGACACAGTGCCAGTATGACAAGCACTGTGCGTGGCAGCCCAGTTGCGAGGCCAAGACTTGCAACAACTACTGTGCCATCAAGGATGACATCTGCAACACGTACGCCAGCCAGCACGACTGCCAAGCAACATATGGATGCGCGTGGTCCGACGGCGCGTGCGCGGCAGCAATCAACGACTGCGCCAACCTGGTGTGTATCCGCATGCGTGTGTGTGTGTGTGTGTGTGTGTGTGTGTGTGTGTGTGTGTGTGTGTGTGTGTGTGTGTGTGTGTGTGTGTGTGCCTGTGTGTCTGCGTGCGCGCGTCGAGGTTGTCTGGGTGTTGCGTGTGGACGTTTGTTTGTGTGCAAGTACAGCTACATGTGTTTGCATGGAAGTGTGTTTGCGTAGAGGTGTGTTTGTCTGGTTCTTGCCTGCAGCTTCCCCAGTTTGCCCTCACCTGTCGTTGCACTCACTCTTGGAATCCATCATCATGCCTTGTCTCAATCCCCGTCTTGCGTCCAGGAAATGGCTGCATGCGACTACAACTCCAACTGCGAGTGGACGAGCGACTGTGGACACAACACCGCCTACACCACAACACGACAGAAGCAGCAAGCATACACCACGACTCAGCACAAGCAGCAAGCATACGGCACCACAACAGCGTACCAGGCTCCGGAACAACGCTACACCAGCACGAAGCAGGCAGAGTATGCCACGCAGCCCGCCTACCCACGCTACACGCAGCAGCAGGCGTACACAACAGCAGCAGAGGGCAAGTACGACACTACCACCAAGGGGCAGCAAGCGTACATGCAGCCACCTGTCTACACGACAACTACGCATCCACCCGTGTATACCACGACGACACGGCCGCACAACAACAAGTACACCACCCAACCGCCATACACCACCACCACCACCACCACCACGACAGCTTACGAGGCGCCCAAGAACCACTACCCCACCACTACCGCCTACCAGCCTCCACACTACACCACGGGCGACCCATATGCCAATGCCGACAACGGTGACAACAGCATCAACAACAACTCGGGCGCCTCTGGTGCTGCTGGTGATGCGAGTGCAGGCCTCTCTGCTGGCGCCATTGCCAGTATTGTCGTTGGCGCGGTGGTGCTTGTTGCCGCTGTTGTTGCTGGCGTCGCTGTCATGGTGGCGAAGACCAAGAAGCGGCAGGCTGATGGTGGTATCATGCCAACCACAGCCGCTGACATCTGAAGATCTGAGCATGGTAGCTGGCTGTCGTTGGTTGGTTGGTTGTCGTTGATTGTCGTTGGTTGTCGTTGTGCGCTGTGATGCGTGTGTGTGTGTGTGTGTGCGTGCGTGCGTGTGTGTATGTGTGTGTGCGCGCGTGCATGTATGTGTGTGCGTGCGTGCGTGTGTGAATGTGTGTGTGTATGTGCGTGCGTGCGTGCGTGCGTGCGTGTGTGTGTGTGTGTGTGTGTGTGTGTGTGTGTGTGTGTGTGTGTGTGTGTGTGTGTGGCGTTTTCAGTCTCTGTTGTCTGCTGTGAGGCTGTGCATGCATGTTGTGTCTTTCACATTCGTTTTGTCACCCCTTGCTGGACAAGCCGTTTGTACTCGCGTCACAATGTTTTTCGTCATTTGCATTGGCCTGCCCTTTCCCTACATCCCCCCTCCCTTCCATCATGTTCGCTTGCCTGCAAGCATCGCATTGTTGTTTCGTTTTCTGGATGTGGTTGCGTGTTTCTAGTTTCACCCACCTACACATTCAGGAATGCATGAACGAACAAACGAATGAATGCAACTGACATGAGCACAACCGTGTGACGTGGGTTGTATGTTTACTACAGGCGACTATGTGGTGTTGTTGCATGGGAGCATTGAGAACAGACGTGGCAATGCGAGTACACCGTATGAAGGAAAACAAAAAGGGAAGAGAAAGGGGGGAGGGGGTGAAGAAAGGATAGAAGAAGGATGAAAAGGAAGAAGGAAGAAAGAACAGGCGACATGCCAGAGCACGCAACAAGAACACGCAACAAGAGCAAAGGAAAGATATGCTTGTCGAAGCGTGACGTGGTAGCGTGGTGTATGGCACGCACTGCCAGAAATGGGGGATTGGACATGGTAACGGAAGGCGATGGGCTGTTGTGGAGCCGTGGCGATGTTGATGCTGATGCTGATGTTGATGTTGATGTTGATGTTGATGTTGAAGGTGGAATGTACCACGACATTGATGTGTGGTTGACGTGTGTGAATGGTGAATGTTGACTACGATTGACAGATGAGGCGAACCGCTGCTGTGGTTGCATCATGCCGTGCTGCCTGATAGCACGCTCATGGGTGCCTGCGAGATCACAACAGCAACACACACACACACACACACACACACACACACACACACACACACACACACACACACACACACACACACACACAATGACGCGAATGTGAAGGAAAGTGAGTGGTTTCAAGGGCGACCAGCGCAGGGGTTGGCACCTCTTCTGTCCTTCTTCCCTTCTCTTGGTTCACGCTGTCAGTGGGTTGCACGCGTATGCCTACAAGCCATGTGTATGCCTGCAAGCACGCCCTGCAAGCACTGCCTACAAGCACTGCCTGCAAGCACGCCACACGCCACACACTTGGCAACGCACCAGTTCTCGTCGACACCGGCGCCGCAGACGTTGATGTTTCCAGCATACTGCTTCATCGATGGCTTGTGCCAGCCTTCGATGAGGAGAGGAGTGTCGTGTATGTGGTGGACAGGGAGAGGGATGGGAGGATGAAGTGAGTGTGAATTGGCAAGAGCAGAGGCGTGATACATGACAGTGTAGCGTTGAACGCATTTCAAGTGGAGGGAAACCCAAGCAAAATGAAGCAGCAGACAGCGACACGGATGAGTGTAGGGGGTGGGGCATGCAGTTATGGACAGACGGATGATTGCGTGAGGGGAACAAAGACAGACAGACAGACAGACAGACGGACAGACGGACAGACACACGACGTGTACACGTTCGCAGAGCTGTTCGTGTGCATGTACTGACCGCCAAAGGGGCGGAAGTCGCTGAAGGAGGCCTTGCCATCGTAGTGGGCGTACCTGTACATCAACACATCATCATCGCGGGGGGGGGGGGGGGAGAGCAAGGTGTGCATGACGAGTGATTGATGAGCGTGTGCGAGCAAGGTGTGTGTGTGTGTGTGTGTGTGTGTGTGTGTGTGTGTGTGTGTGCACTCACGGTACCACCACGCAAACGCTTGTATTTTGGGCATTTTCGACACCACCATCATCATCGTCATCACCACCATCACCACCACCGCCGCCGCGACGAAGAGTTGTTGCTTGCAGGCAAGTGTTGCATACCAGAGCGGAAGGTCTGAGCCGCCGTGCCAGTCGCCCATGATGGGAGACCACTGGGACTCGCTGAATGCAGAACGGAACAGAGGACCGTGAGCAGGCACGTTGAGCTGCTACCACCACTTCCACAGACACAAACACACACACACACACACACACACACACACACACACACACACACACACACACACACACACACACACACACACACACACACACACACACACACACACACACACGGACATCGAAACGCAAGTGCACGCAGAGATGCGGAGGAAGACAGGACAACACAACACCACTCGCATCGACGACAAACAGCACAAAGACAAACAAAACACACGACACAACACACGCAAGAGACACACAGGGGCGTACCTGGTGTAGACGCCGACCTTGATGCCATGATGCTTCGCACGCTCAACCAGACCCTTGAAGAACTCGCGGTTCTTCTCCTGCACACACACACACACACACACACACACACACAGAGCGTGCAGTATGACAAGCAGACAAGCAGTGAGAACAACATGGAGGCTGCTCGCAACGAACGACTTGACCACGCACTGCGCGGAACACACACACACACACACACACACACATGCCAACCTTGCTGGACGTCCAGTACTGCGGGCCTTCAATGTCAAGCCAGAGCATGCCGTACGTGTCTGCAAGCAAGAAGTGGTGGGGAGTGTCAGGGGAAAGACGGAGCCAGAATCAGGGAGTGCAAGTGTGTGTTTGTGTGCGCGCGAGCGTGTTGGGTGCGCGTCAATCATGTGAGATATCACGGCCAATCTTACGTGGCTTCTTGTCGCCTGGCTTGATGTTGAACTTTGCCTGCACATGTGCACACACGAGAGTAAACGCAGAAACGCGTCAGTTGGGGGTGCGTCGTGACACCACACGCAGCTTGGACAGAAAGAAATGAAGCATACCCAAGCGACACACACACTCACACACGCGCAAAGTAAACGCACACACTCACACACACACTCACACACACGCGCACAGTAAACGCGCACTCACATGCAAACACACACGCACACACACACGCACACAAAGCAAAGTAAACAAACACACACGCAAACTCACCAGGTATTCGACCATGCTGTTGATCTGGTGGGCTGGGTTGTCGGCGCGGGGATCTGGGAAGAAGTACAGGCTCACGGCGTCCATGCCGCCGTCCCATGCATTGTACACGGTGTGCGGGCAGTTTGAGTCGACGCGGCCCACGCTCTCATAGCAGCGGATGATTGCAAACTTGTAGTCGTGCGACTTGAGGCACTGCACAGCCGGAGAAGAGGGTGGTGAGTGAGTGAGGCGCAGTGGCCAGAAAGAGACCGAGATCGGAGAGCCGAGAGCGTGCGTCATGTCATGTGATGTGAAACGCAGACAGAAGTGAAGTGGCGTGAGCAGCAGAACACAAGCACACTACAATGCACAACACGAAACACGATGGCACACACACACACACATGCACACTACGATGCACAACACAAACACACACACACACACATACACACACACCAATACACACACCTTCCAGTTGTTCTCGTAGGTGGCCTGCGACACGTCCACGCCCTTGTGTGCGTGGCAGAGGAAGAAGGTGGACGAGGAGGCGAGCGCCACCACCAAAACGAGCACCACTGCCAACTTCATCTTGCTTGATCAACTTGTGCAATTCCAACAAAAAAACAAAGCACGCGGATTTGTCACGTAAATCATGTAATGATGTTCTGCGATTCCTGGCCTTGGTGCATTTACTGCATGACACAGCCAATATTCTACACCGCATCAACGCAACATCAACGATGCATCGAAGATGAGGAGCGAAGGTTGTGGTGGTGGTCCTTCCGTTGGCCCAGTCTATGTTCACAAGCCTGCAGGCAAAAAGCGTGTGACATTACGTGAGCAACCCAGCCCCGTTGTTCCTGCACGAAGGCTGCATGCACGTCCGCGAATTCCCACAAGGATGCTGTGCTGAGAGAAGAAGAAGGGAAGAGAAGCAAAGAAGGATTTGACTGGCAGCCTGCCACTTTGGTCACGCACCACACGTCAGGCCAACCACTCGCTCGCTCTCGCTCTCGTGCGTCCATTCACTTTTAATTGTCTCCCCCCACCCGAGACGAAACATCAGACGAACACGCAACGGCAACCGCTGGCTGTTTAATAAAGAGGTGGGTGAGTTTGCTCATGCTGACGTGAGAACGGCGAGTGTGTGTGTGTGTGTGTGTCGTGTGTGTGTGTGTGTGTGTGTGTATGTGTGTGCTTGTCTAATTCTGGTGTCAGCGCAGTGCTGGTGGTGCTTGTGCTGGTGGTCCTTGCCACTAACCACAGTTATCATCGTGGGTCGCTCCCATTTTCTCAACCCTTCTCTTGCCGTATCTTATCTCTCATCGCACGCACAGCCGCACGCACACGGATACACGCACCAAAGCACAGCAAGCAAGGCACGCAAGCGGAAGCCGTTTCTTCCTCTGGGCACCAGCGGCAGCAAACGCGCTTTGAGGTGAGCGAGTTTGTGGGATAAGTTTGGGACATGTGGTTGGTCATGGCGGGAACTTGGTTCGTGCCACCCAATCATCATGAACACACACACACACACACACACACACACACACACACACACACACACACACACACACACACACACACACACACACGAACACCTTTGACACACAGGAGCGAGTGTGTGCTAACTTGCTCTTTTCCCCTTCTGCGATGACATTTCTTTGCTCTCTGCCGCACACGCACACATATGCTCGCAAGCACGCTTGTCTGACCTCATCTTCCCCTTCGTTCTCGTTTCGGTGTTGGCTGTTCGCCTGCCGGTCGTGCGTACGCTCACCCCCTGCATACACATACACCAACACACTCACACACATACACTCACACACATACACACACACTCACACACACTCACACACACACACACAAGACGACAATAGCAGACGACAGGATAGACAAGGACAGCCTACCCCCTTCACCAACGCACAACACACACAGACACACAGACACGCACACGCACACACACACACGCCTTCATCAACACTGGGAAGATGGCGCGATCCGTCTCCACACACACACACGCGCACATGCGCGGCGCATCGCTCGTCCTCGTGGGCCTGTTCCCGCTGCTGCTGTCGTTCATCCTCGTCCCGGGCGGCACCATGATGATGGAGACGGCGAAAGCAGATGCGCTCGCAGACTTCAACCGCGTGTATGAGGCGCTCAACGTGACGTACTTTGGCGGCGTCACCAAACCCATGGCCGACCGCATCTTCTCGCGCGCTGATATCCCGCACATGATCACCATCCTCAACATGGGGGCCGCCTTTGAGCGGCAGGACAACACGGTGGTGTTCCTCGGGTACCTGTCCAACGACTCAGACCCCACGGTCGGTGCGCTGCGGCAATACTGGGACAACTTTGCAACGGTGACGACGCCGGCTGCACGGCGCTCGGCACTGCTTGTTCCGCACGCGCTTGGACTCATGGCGCAACTCACGGAGTCGCAGGAGGCCCTCAGCTTCATGCAGGACATGCTTGCTGACCTGAACAACCCCATCACGAACCTGCTGCACGCCATCCTGCCCAAGCTGTCACCCGACATGGGGGAGCAGGAGGAGCTGCTCACGGGTCTCGTGAAGCAGCTGTTGCGTGGCCTCTCGTTCTACAACGGCACCATCCTCGCCACCGCCGTGCAGCTGCTCGACGACACGCTCGACCTTGTTGTTGGCGACGACGGCGTTCTCGATGGCCTCACGGATGTGGTGGACGACATTGTTGGCGGTCTGCTCGGCGGCAGCGGCAGCACCGACAGCTCCCGCCCCCTGGACGGCGAAGGTGTGTGTGTCTGTGTGGGTTGGGGGGGGGATGTTTGTGTGTGTGTGTGTGTGTGTGTGTGTGTGTGTGTGTGTGTGTGTGTCTGTGTTTGTGTGTGTGTGTGTATGTGTGTGTTTGTGTGTGTGTGTGTGTGTGTTTGTGTGTGTTTGTGTGTGTGTGTGTATGTGTGTGCTCTGTACGTGGTTCGGCTTTGCCAGTTCTCAGCTCACTCCTCCACTCCCTTCTCCATACATGCATGTGTGTGTGTGTGTGTGTGTGCAGAGGGGGATGACGGGTTCTTTACGTTTCTCTTCGGCAGCCGGCGACGACGTGGTGTGGCGCCAGCAGACGACAGTCCACGTGAGCACCTTTGCTCGTCAATCGTGATGATGCGAATGTGTTGATATGTGTGTGTGTGCGTGTGTGTTGCTCTGTCGCTCACACCGCCCCCTGTCCAATCCCACTTACTCACACACAAACAGAGACTGAGAGCATAGTGCTTGACTACTGCCAGCACACGGGCGTATCGGATGCGTTCACCAACAGCGACGTCGACCGCGTGGCAGCGGTTATGACCAGCGTCGCATCGTCGTCCCAGGCCTCGTTCGACGTCGCGTGCTGCCTGGAGTTCACCAACGGCGGGGAGGGTGCTCGGTTTGGACTGCAGGGTGATGGTCTCTCTGTTGTCGACAACAAGCGCGAGGCAGCCGTTGTCTTCAACCAGGGGTGCGGTCGCATCAAGGTGCGCTGATGCGCGGTGCTGCGATGTCATCTTGCCGACGGAGTTCGGAAGAGAGGGGGCGGGGGCGGGGTGAGAGAGAGTGTGTGTGTGTGTGTGTGTGTGCATCTGTGTGTGTGTGTGTGTGTGTGTGTGTGCGTGTGTGCTGTGCGTGTGTTCTGTGTGTGTGTGTGAGTGTGGTCGTGTGTGTGTGTGTGTGTGTGTGTGTGTGTGCGACATCTGTGTTGGTCGTCAATGCCACCGCACTCTCACCAATACACCTCTGCTCACTCACCAACCACAACCAATACCAACACCACCACCAACACCTCCTCCACCGAACACATCAATCAAACCACCAGATTGTGAATGTGATCAACTACTGTGGGCAGCCGGCCTCCAACGTCATTGGCTGCGCGCCCGTCGGCGGCGACACGGAGATGCTCGTCCGTCTCTCCAGTCACCAGAGCGACGCACGCCTCTGGCTGCACGAGGTGCGTGCTGCTTTTTTTTGCTTGTTTGTTGGGTGGTTTGGTGTGATTGTGTTTTGTTGTGGTTGTTGTGGTTGTTGTGATTGTGTTGTGCTTGTGGTTGTGGTTGTGATTGTGTTGTGATTGTGTTGTGTTGTGTTGTGGTTGTTGTGGTTGTTGTGATTGTGTTGTGGTTGTTGTGATTGTGTTGTGTTGTGTTGTGGTTGTGTTGTGCTGTGTTGTCTTGTGTGGCTATTCCTTTCGTCCATTCCAACCTCTCCTCGCATCCTTCCACCTTTCTCTCGCATCCTTCACCCACCTCCATCCCATCCTTCACACCATCGTCATCGTGTGTCATCAGACTGGACACAACGTCGGTCTCGGGCACAACCGCGACAGTGCCGATTACATCATGTATCCAACGCTCACCGGCAACCTCAACGGTGAGCACGCAGCCCACATGTCTCTGGTGTGTGTGTGTGTGTGTGTGTGTGTGTGTGTGTGTGTGTGTGTGTGTGTGTGTGTGTGTGTGTGTGTGTGTGTGTGACGTGTGTGTGTGACGTGTGTGTGATGTATGCGTGTTTGTTGGTTTGTTTGAGCCTGATATGTGTGTGTGTGTGTTTCGTCATTCTGATGACGATTGTAAACGTACCTGCACCTCTCGCCCACTGCGATCCCCTCACCCCCCCCCCCGCCCTCTACCACCTCCTCTCCCACTCACCTTATCACCATCAACAATAACACCGGCCGACAGACAACTTTGCGTTGACGTTGGAGGAGTGCGGTGCGTTCCACTCGCCGCCGCCAACAGCGCGCGTGCAGATTTCAGCCACAAACGCCACGTGTGCATCCGTCCAGCAGCCACCCGGCAGTGGCGATGGTGATGACGACGATGGAAACGGCGGTGGTGGTGGTGGCGGTGGCAGCAGCGATGGCAGCAGTGGTCTGCTCACTGGCGCGACGAGCTGGGCGGTGTTTGGTGTTGGCATTGCACTCGCAGCCGTGGCCGTTGTCGTCGTGTCTGTCTTTGCACGCGCGAGGGCAGGCAGGTGATTTGGAAGCACACGGGGCAAGTGAGATGGGAGGGGGGAAAAGAACAAGATGAGAAGAAGGAGGAGGAGGAGGAGGAGGTGATGGGTGATGGGATGGTGGGTGGTGGCTTTGAGGGGCGCGATGTGCTGATGGTGAATGGTGTGACCCCGAGGAGTGCAGAGTGAAGGGACTGCGAGATGTGCGTGTGTTGTTGATGGATCATGCACACCATCAACTGTGACGTTGTTGCCATCATTGCCACCAATTGCATCAGGGGTTATGTTGCATTTTGCTTGCTTGTTGCCGTCTTTGGGCCGCACCTTATCTTGCTTTCTCAACAACGTGTGTGTGTGTGTGTATGCATGCGTTGTTTGTGCGTTGTTATTCCACCGGTGGAAAGTATAAACCTCAAAGTATCCGTATCAGCGTCAGGATTATGCTTGCAGGCAACAAGCACGTGAAGATGAGTGATGGGGCAATCGGGTGCGGCATAAACCAACAACTACACGTGCACACACACACATGTGCATGTGCATGGCTGCTGATGTGCATAGGGAAGGTAACTGTGTATTGATTGATCACGCAAGTAAGCAAGCAAGGTAACATGTCACGCAAGCAACTAAGAAACACACAAGCCATGTGTCTGTGTGTGTGTGTGTGTGTGTGTGTGTCCGTGTGTCTGTGATTGGGACAGACAGACAAGAGGAAACCAATGCAGCCACAGAGAGAACGTTGCACAAGCGAGACAAGCAAGGAACAAACAAAAGAACAAAAGACGCATGATAAACGAGCGAGCAGATGATGACACGTGGGCGAGCAGTTGAAAAGGTAATGGAGATGGAGAGAGAGAGAGAGAGACACTAGGGCACAACGTGGAACCGCCTGGTATTGTTGCTGTTGCTGTGCATGCGTGTGTGTGCATGTTGGGGCGACAAGCGTGGTGCGGGTAAAAGAAACACAAGCGATACAGATAGAGAGATGGAGCGGAGGGGTAGGTGGTGTTGTGGGGTTGGGTGCCACGGTGTGCCAAGGCGCAGACAAGGGGGGAGGGGTGAACGGACACAACCCCGACGCAAAGTGCACGTGGACACGAATCCATCATGCCAACGACCATCGCAAACACCAACCACTTGAACACGACAGCAACCAAAGATACGCACAACAACGCCATCGTCCGCACCCCCCCCCTGTCAAACACACAGCCAGTGCACACACGCATCACCAACACGAAGAGCAACGCCGACAAGGGTCACGGCGCATGGGAATGGTGGTGGTGGTGGTGGCGGTGGTGGTGGTGGTGTCAGATGGACGGTGCCGATGTCATGACGGCTGGCGCTGCCTGTGTTTCGTCCGTCGGGTCATACAGGAGGTTTTGGTTCTGTGATGCGATGCGGATGTGGTGTGGATCCATCTTGATCTTCAGCCTGTGTGTGTGTGTGTGTGTGTGTGTGTGTGTGTGTGTGTGTGTGTGTGTGTGTGTGTGTGTGTGTGTGTGTGTGTGTG